GCTGACAACATTTTTCACGATGCCAGTGGAGAGCTATTAGAGCACACTGCACAGGGAAGCTGAGCCTGCCCCATCCCTGCAAGTGTTCCAGGCCAGGCTGGACGGGACTCGCAGCAACCGGGGACAGCGGAAGGTGTCCCTGCCCACGGAAGACAGGCTGGCCTTTGAAGGTCCCCTTCAAACCAAATCGCTCTGGGGTTCCCCTCCAAAATCACTCCCAAAGAGACACAGCAACCAAAGCAGAGGGACTGCACTCCCAGCTTTTCTTACCTGCAGGCACACACAGCACAGCACGTTGGACATAAAAGCCACAGGGTTAGTCCTGCCAGAGGCGTCCGGCACACCCACGGCGACCGAAGGGAAAGAGGGAGCCTGGGAACACGGAGTAAAAGACACCTTAATTAGGACTACCCTGAGCCATAGCCAGGCCATTCCCACAGACAGCTTCACCGTCCAGTCGTCCAAAAAGCACTCACCGAGGCCTCAGGTAGGATGGTTCCTGACGCTGACCAGGTGAATACCTCCCCGGAAGCCCGCTCTGCTCCTGCCAGGCACTGGGGCTCACCCAGAGGGGCTTTGCCAAGCATCCAAGGGAAATTAAAATTACAGCCTGGGCAAAGGCGCTTCCCGCAGGACTGCTCCTGGCCAAGGCCACCGGTCCGTGCAAGTCAGACCACTGACCACCCAGGGCTGGGGATTTTCAGGGGCACGCTTCCAGCTTTTATTCTCCAGAAACTCCAGTTCTTCCTGGCACCGCTTGCCAGAAAGTCTTCCCCTGTTGGAAGAGGTCACTTAGTCTTTCGAGGGGCCAGATTGCCAAAGCCCGGCCAGTCCGTTCCCACGAGGAAAGGTAGCTTTGTCTTGTACAAGATACTGGGGGGGAGACACAAAAGTTTAATTTAAAAGAACTGCCTAGAATAGAAAGCAATTCAAACATAAGTCAGACAAGACTCGTGCAAAACTGAATTACATTGGACTTCAAAGGAGAATTCTTTCCCTCTGCACCTCAGAGAACCCCAATTTTCACCCAGGTCCCGCTTACCATTGTCACACAAAACGTGCTGACAAAATTTTTCAGGATGCCAGTGGAGAGATATCAGAGCACACTGCACAGGGAAGCTGAGCCTGCCCCATCCCTGCAAGTGTTCCAGGCCAGGCTGGACGGGACTCGCAGCAACCGGGGACAGTGGAAGGTGTCCCTGCCCACGGAAGACAGGCTGGCCTTTGAAGGTCCCCTTCAAACCAAATCGCTCTGGGATTCCCCTCCAAAATCACTCCCAAAGAGACACAGCAACCAAAGCAGAGGGACTGCACTCCCAGCTTTTCTTACCTGCAGGCACACACAGCACAGCACGTTGGACATAAAAGCCACAGGATTAGTCCTGCCAGAGGCGTCCCACGGCGACCGAAGGGAAAGAGGCAGCCTGGGAACACGGAGTAAAAGACACCTTAATTAGGACTACCCTGAGCCATAGCCAGGTCATTCCCACAGACAGCTTCACCGTCCAGTCGTCCAAAAAGCACTCACCGAGGCCTCAGGTAGGATGGTTCCTGACGCTGACCAGGTGAATACCTCCCTGGAAGCCCACTCTGCTCCTGCCAGGCACTGGGGCTCACCCAGAGGGGCTTTGCCAAGCATCCAAGGGAAATTAAAATTACAGCCTGGGCAAAGGCGCTTCCCGCAGGACCGCTCCTGGCCAAGGCCACCGGTCCGTGCAAGTCAGACCACTGACCACCCAGGGCTGGGGATTTCCAGGGGCACGCTTCCAGCTTTTATTCTCCAGAAACTCCAGTTCTTCCTGGCACCGCTTGCCAGAAAGTCTTCCCCTGTTGGAAGAGGTCACTTAGTCTTTCGAGGGGCCAGATTGCCAAAGCCCGGCCAGTCCGTTCCCACGAGGAAAGGTAGCTTTGTCTTGTACAAGATACTGGGGGGGAGACACAAAAGTTTAATTTAAAAGAACTGCCTAGAATAGAAAGCAATTCAAACATAAGTCAGACAAGACTCGTGCAAAACTGAATTACATTGGACTTCAAAGGAGAATTCTTTCCCTCTGCACCTCAGAGAACCCCAATTTTCACCCAGGTCCCGCTTACCATTGTCACACAAAACGTGCTGACAAAATTTTTCAGGATGCCAGTGGAGAGATATCAGAGCACACTGCCCAGGGAAGCTGAGCCTGCCCCATCCCTGCAAGTGTTCCAGGCCAGGCTGGACGGGACTCGCAGCAACCGGGGACAGCGGAAGGTGTCCCTGCCCACGGAAGACAGGCTGGCCTTTGAAGGTCCCCTTCAAACCAAATCGCTCTGGGATTCCCCTCCAAAATCACTCCCAAAGAGACACAGCAACCAAAGCAGAGGGACTGCACTCCCAGCTTTTCTTACCTGCAGGCACACACAGCACAGCACGTTGGACATAAAAGCCACAGGGTTAGTCCTGCCAGAGGCGTCCCACGGCGACCGAAGGGAAAGAGGCAGCCTGGGAACACGGAGTAAAAGACACCTTAATTAGGACTACCCTGAGCCATAGCCAGGTCATTCCCACAGACAGCTTCACCGTCCAGTCCCACAAAAAGCACTGACCTCCCAGGGCCTCAGTTAGGATGGCTCCTGACGCTGACACCTCCGTTTGCCCCGGGGGGTCAAGAATAACATGCCTGGGAAGAAGTCACCCCCAACAACAAAAAGGGAAAATTAGTGAAGCACGGGGTCCTCTTCTGACTAGATTGCCACCAGCATTCCAGAGCAGATGACACGACTGTTCTGTTACAGACGAGAAAAGCCTGTTCTCCCAAACAAACAGCGAGGAGATTTATGGGCACGCCTGAACATTTCCTGTGAGGAACTTTTTGTAACTAAGGAGCAGGTGCTGTCTTGAGTTGAAGGCATCAATTTGACAGACACTTAGGACAGCAAACTCTTCAGCAGAGCAATTAACTGCAGCCTATTTGAACAGCAGGGGAGAGAAAACGACAGTGAAGGGAAGACAAGAAAAGCAGAACTGGAATCAGCAGACTTTTCTTCCATCTCTCCCGAGGAAGTCTAGTTTGTCTGTTCTAATAATTCTATGCCCTTTTCTACATGAAACTTAGAGCAAGGCTGAAAAAACAACTAGAAAACACGGAGAGAAGCTTTTTAGAATTTCACGTGATTTTCCCAAACCGATGCCAGAAAAGCAGAACTCGGTAGAATGTACTCACCTCGAGGCCTTTGGTCTTTTCTTCCCTAAGCTTCGTCACCTGATTGAAAAAGCAGAGTAGACTCGGTATTTAGGCTCCCAACAGGAAAACTTCCCCTTCATTTCCTAAAAGAAACTACATTAATCTGCACAGCTGCAGGCGCGTGTCCAGCTGTTAAAGCCTTTCAGCTTTTCGGAGGGTGAGAATGTCCTGCTAAGGAAGGCTGAAAACTGCTCGGAGCCTGCACAGGTCCAAGAGCCCCTTGATTTTGTCTGTGTTCCAGTCCCGGGCTAAAGAAAGGGCAGAAGAAGCGCAGTTGTTCCTTGCCTCTTCCCTAAGAGGTTCGGCCAGGTGCTGGGCCAGCCCGGGCACTCCGGGGGAAGGCCGGCAGTGCCCAAGCAGCGCCGCTTTGCCAGGGGCGTCGCTTGCAAGAGCGCCGCCGAGCGCCGGGCCCTGCCTCACAGTCGCCGCCTGGCGGACACGGCCGGGAGCGGGACTGCAGCCGCGCGCCTCCCCCCCCCCCTCCCCTCCTTGGCGAGACCCGCGGCGCCTTTGGACGCGCCCAGCTTACCCCGGGGTCGATCTCCGTCGAATCTGCCGCCGTGGGTCGCTTCCGGGGGGGGAAGGCGGCGGCGCAGCCCCGATAGCATCTCCAGGGCACGGCGGGAGCGAGCGGGGCAGAAGCGGGGGCAGAAGCGGGGGCAGGGGCGGGAGCGGAGCGGGGCGAGAGGGCGGCGCGACGTGCGCGCCATGCGGTCCTCGCGGCCGCCGCGGGCCCCGAGACGGGGGGCTGCCCGGCGCGGTGCCCTGCCGCCGCCCACGAACTTGCCGCCCGCCGCCCCGGCGCCGGCCGAGCGCCCCGCCTGTCCCCGCAGCGGGAAGCAGCGCGGCGAGACGGCGCTGCGGGCGCGGGGTGGGGGTCCGGGTCGCGGCGGAAGCCTCTCGCCGCCATCTTTAGTGTGGTCGTTCCGGTCCTGGCGGCGCCATCTTTCCTGTGGGCTTGGCGAACTTCCGGGCCGGGGCCGCCATCTTTAGTGTGGTCGTTCCGGTCCTGGCGGCGCCATCTTTACTGTGGGCTTGGCGAACTTCCGGGCCGGGGCCGCCATCTTTAGTGTGGTCGTTCCGGTCCTGGCGGCGCCATCTTTGCTATGGGCTTGGCGGACTTCCGGGCGGGGGCCTTGGAGGACTTCCGGTCGCTCACTACTTCCGGTGACCGAGTTTACCCAAATTAGCGTCCCTCCTCGCTAATTTCTGCGCTTTCACCCCAAGAAATCTTCACGTTATTCCCCCCCCGCACACCCCGGGACAGACGGGAGGCCGCGAGTCCCGCCCTGCCGCCGGAACCGGCCCTTAACTCGAGCAGGGAGCGCTGCACCGGCACGAGAGCCACTGCGCATGCGTCGCCGGTCCCTCTCCTGCCTGCCCTTACTTACCACGTGATCGCCGGCGTTTTGCCAACGACTGCGCATGCGCTGTTCAAAATTTTTTCAATGCAGTTCCTGTTTTCCGTCAGCAGGTGGCAGTATTTCATCTCAAATATATGTGCAATTCTTTTTCTCTGTCACCAGGGGGCACTGTTGCTATGCGATTTTTTACTTATGGCATTTTTTTTTGTTTTATAACCGTATTTGTTCGTGTAGTTCTTTTGGGAAATCGGATAATTGGCTTGTGATTGCTGGTGGTTTGAAAATTTACTTGTGTAATTAGGCTCTTCTCCTGGTTTTAATTCTCTAGGCTCTTCTCCTAAGAGAATTAAAATCAGGAGAAGAGCCTAAAAAAAAAAAAATGAAAATCAGGGGAAGAGCCTAAAAAAAATGAAAATCAGGAGAAGAGTCTAAAAATATAAAAATCAGGAGGAGAGCCCAAGAGAATTAAAATCAGGAGAAGAACCTAAGAGAATTAAAATCAAGAGAAGAGCCTAAAAAAATTACAATCAGGAGAAGAGCCTGAAAAAAATTAAAATCAGGACACGGGACTAATACAATAAAAATCATGAGAGGAGCCTAAAAAAATTAAAATCAGGAGAGGAGCCTGAAAAAATTAAAATCAGGAGAGGGGACTAAAAAAATTAAAATCAGGAGAGGGGACTAAAAAAATTAAAATCAGGAGAGGGGACTAAAAAAATTAAAATCAGGAGAGGAGCCTGAAGGAATTACAATCAGGAGAGACCCAGAACTCACCCAAGTCTCCCCAAAAAACTACCAGAAACTGATTCAAATCTCCCCAAAAATGACCCAGAACTCACCCAAATCTCCCCAAAAAGTGACACAAAAACTGATCCAATTCACTCCAAAAATTGATCCAGAACTGACACAAAACTGGCCCAAATCACCTCAAAAACTAACTCCAAATTGGCCCAAAACCTGACCTAAAAATGCAAAAAACCCCCCCCAAAACTGACCCAAAATGATACAAAATCAGCCCCAAATATGACCAGAAACTGACCCCAAAATCCCAAAACACTGATACCAAGACTCACCCAAATCTCCCCAAAAAAATGACCCAAAAGTCAGCCCAATCACCCCAAAAAATGACCAGAAACTGACCCAAAATTACCACAAAAATAAACCCAAAACTCACCCAAATCATCCCGAAAAATGACCAGAAACTGACCCAAATCTCCCCCAAAAATGACCAGAAACTCACTAAAAATAACCCCCAAAAATGATCAGAAACTGACACAAATCTCCCCAACAAATGACCCAAACTTTATTTCTTTTCTTAGCAACAAATCCCTTCCTTTGCTCCCCTCTGGCCCTGCCCACACGGCCCCAGTTCAGCTCTCAGTGAGTTCTTGCTTCTGGGCAGCGACTCCTCTGCCTCTTGCTGGGGCGGCAGCAGCTCCTGTGCCGGCAGGGAGAGGGACCCCGAGCCAGGAGAGGGACCCCGAGCCAGGAGAGGGACCCCGAGCCAGGAGAGGGACCCCGAGCCACGAGAGGGACCCCGAGCCACGAGAGGGACCCCGAGCCACGAGAGGGACCCCGAGCCACGAGAGGGACCCCAGAGCCCCTACAGAGACCCCAGAGCCATTATAGGGACCCCAGAGC